ATGGCAGTCCTGCTCAGGACAATAACTGCCTGCAAGACAGTTTCACTACCCAAAGAATTCGCAAACTGACTAATGGCTCCTAGGATTTGTACACGAACAACCGCACCAATGCAACGATATTTTGAAACCGTGGAGGAAAATCCTCAACTCAAGCGATAATCAAGGCTGTTCTTGAAACTTATCACCACAGACGTACAAATAGCCCGATATAATTGTACGAGCAAAGCATCAAACACAGAAAATCCCTGATTCTTCATCAAGCTAAGCTTTATCAAGGCATCTGAATCCTGGATTTTGCATTGTAGAAGAACACAAATATGAACATCAGTTTTAGATCAATGATAGTACAGCCATATTGCCACTAGTTTCATCATTCTTCCAATATCAAATTCAGCAGAACCAGGACAATCTTTCTCCCACCAATTGATTCTTCCCATTCCGACACGGAATTTACAAAAAAAAACACCAGAAGGAATTTCGAGGATATTCCATGATCCCCGAGTCATACATCTTCAACAACCAAAAACATCGAACAAATGCAAAGAACTCATATTACGCCGACAAAAATCTCACAGCTAACATAATCACACCCCGCAAACAGCCCGAATTCCCCGCATTACGAACAAAATCAGAAAATCCAAACACATACACATACACAGAAATAAATATGATATGATGCGCTTATAGAAAAGGAAGATTGGGACGTGAAATCATCCTCGTACCCAGCTACCAGGCGGCAACCATCCTCGTACCGCTGCTGAAGCCGACCCGTACGCGCGACGAAATCACACATCACTGAAAGAACAAAATCTCTTCGGTTTTTCTGCCCTAAATCCAGAAGAAATTGGATCTCCCGGCCATCAAGAGAAAGGGGAAAAACATCCAAGACTCTACAAGCCGAGGACAATGCTGACGCCTGAACTGGATAACAACAACACCGGTTCTGTCTCAACCATTGCCGCCTCCGAATGTTGGAACTGTCGATCAGATCCAACGGTTGGGAGAGATCTAGGGCTTCTGGGAAGTTTGGGTCCAGAGGATCAAAGAGAGAACAGATACGAAAAGCACATAAGAGGAAAAAAAAAAAAAGCGTTTTTTTAATTTAATTGGTAAACTGCTTTCCTTTTAAGGTCGGAGGGGTGGGGTTGGGGATGGGTCAAGTAAATGGGCCCTCAAATGAACGAGCCCTCACTAATTTTTTATTTATTGAATGAAAATATATAAAACTACAATAACTATATATATATATACTACCAACTAAAAATAAAATTATGAAATACTGTGAAAATATATAAACCTAACTTGATAAAAAAAAATTAACATAAATATTTAATCCTAAATATTACCCCAAATAACTTTTGTTTTATTTCCATTATTCATATTACATCCTATACGTGTTATCTAATAAACCCGTTTAGTATGACAGTAGAACAAAATTAAGATCAGTTTTTATAGTAAAATCTATCGATTACCCGTATTGATTCGAGTCATTGATCAAACATCTAATAGTCATAATTTTTATATCATGATATAGTTTTAGTTTAATCATGATTCCCACGATATAGTGATCGATAGGATAAATTAGAATTATTCGTAATAACTCGTAGATTACTATATTAAATTGTGAACATACAAACTATATAATAGAAGAAATGGAATGTCATAAAATAAACAAATACATATATATTGTTCAATAGATAATTATTATAGAATACAACTACCAACAATCTTTCATTTGTTCTACTCATAATTTATCTAATAGATATCTAATGTCCATCGCCTAAATGTGACTTTCATTCTTTGATTGTGGTATCAATGTGTTCATATGTCGACACTCTACATATACTCACGTAACATATGTACACGATCTCTATCTCATGAGATGATATCGTCTGAGTAAATATGTAGATCGATTGTGATATCTCGATTCTTTAATTTGATTATCCCATTATTAACGTCACTATACAATGTTATGGGATCGACAACGATGAGAACGAATCCAAAGTCATTGACGGACTTTATGATCCAAACAACCTCCTTAGCAACATCCGATACAACTATATACTCAACTTCAGTTGTAGAATAAACAATTGTTGCTTTCTTAAAACTTTTCTAACTAATGACGCCCCCATTCAACATGAACATGTAATCCGATTGCGATCGATAGTCATCTCTATCAAATTAAATACTAGCATCGACATAACCAAGTATAATGAATTGATTTTTTGTCCACCGTATACCAAGAACGCCCTTTGTTCTTCGCAAATATCTAAGGATGTTCTTGACCGTGATTATTAACACTATAAATTTACCGTATTTTTATGTAGTTCATCCCATAGTTTTCCATGGTTTCTGTACATTTCTAGACATTATATATCATATTAGGTTCGTTTATTTCTTTGTTCTATTTTTTGTGACGTTTTAGGTTTACATCACTATTTTGGAACCAAATGGACGAAAACAAGGGTTAAATCTTCCGAGATTTGTAACAACTTCCTATTCATATGTTCTCCACTTTTCTAACCGAAATGTCTATCGTCCTACGTTTTACATGTTGAAACCGCATTAGACTCCCTTCATGTAATTTTTCTTCCATAAATATTACTCCTACTTTTCTTTCTGATATTCTTGTTTTAAATTTTGTTCATTCTTGCATGTCCACATATCCATCGCAATATTTTCATCTCGATCACATTTATTTTGAACGTACGTTGTCCTTAATTGTCCAACATTTGGTATCATATATCAATGTGGTCCTATAGCATTATAGTAGAATTTTTCTTTTAAACGTACGTACGGAAAACTTATGATCACAAAAAACCCTTGTAACTTGTCTCCATTTTATCCATCCTACTTTTATCCTATAACTAACATTTTCATTGCAATCCTCATCCTTTTAAAGGATTGAACAAAGATATTTAAAATACGGATTTCGATGTACTAATCCTTCTACCAAGTTAATTCCTACACTGCTATCAGACATGTTGTAGTGGTATCGGTGCCTCACTGCTTCTCTCTAACTCATTGACAAAAGCAAAAAACGAAAAAAGAAGAACAAGAACAAGAAAAAGAGACACTAGGTTTTATGAGTTCTGGTATCGCATACCTTACATATTTGGATACTAGCTATCCGGTGAATCTACTAGTGATGAAAAACCAGCAAGAGGATGACGGAATCGGAGTCACGTAGAAAGTACAACTGAAAAAGAAAAACCAGAAAGAGGACGACGATTTGCGATGGAAGTAGTGCATCATAAACCATCATAAAAAGACAACGACAAAATTGTTCGTCTCAATCCGTCGCAAAATTTCCCAATGGAAACGTCGTCACAATACAATTACTTGGTAGCAGTTTGTAGGATTATGTCGCAATTACTCCGTCGTAGGCCATAGGATTCCATCGGGAATTGAATGCTATGGATTTTTGCGACGCAATCCATTGCAAACTTGCAACTGTTTTCACAATAATTTCCGACGGAGTTTTCGACCCTAGTTTTTGTCATAAATTTTGGTTGCGGCGGAAATTTCGTCTCAATATCCGTCGTTACGTTTTTTTGTTTTGTTTTTTGTAGTGAGAAGAATTGTGTAATTTCTTCGATACCAGAAACATCTGACCTAATGAAAGACTTATCTCCAACACGCGCCACTGCAGCAATCACAAGGTTTCGTTTTGCTAACTCTAAGGGGGCGACTAGTTGTACCGCCGCCACCCGCAAACGGAGCGGTTACGATTTCCGGCGGTTGCAGACGATTGAAAAACTGACTGGTTGAACCGCAACCAACCGCAACCGCAACCAAACTTGTGTTTTTTAATCGCAGCTTCCAACTTGCGTTTTGGTAGCGGTTTCCAGCGTTTTGACAAAAAAAACTAAAATATTTTTATTAGAAATTATATAAAACATTAATATATATTGGTGATGCTTTTGTTTAGTGTTATGATTTGATATTATTTTTTAGTATTATATTTTAATAAAAAAAATAATAATTTTTTAGTGTTATGATTTGATATTATTTTTTTAGTATTATACTTAAAAATAAATTAAATTAATAATATTTATATTTAAAATTTATTATTTAATTATTATAAATTTAGTAAATAAATTTTATCAAATGATACGAAAAATTTAATTAAAACTATTATAAAAAATTATTTTTAAATAATATTTTTTTTTGACAATTTATATCAAAACGCAACCGCAACCGTAATAAACCATTCACTTCTAACTGTACCCACTCACAATCGCTACCAATAGCAACTTCTCAACCAGTCAGTATTAATCATTTATAATCACTATCAAACGTTCTGAATACGGTGCCACCCGCAACCGCAACCGCTGCGGTATAACCAGTCGAACCCTAAAACTCTTTATTTAATATACTAATTCTGATTGTCCATTTATGGCTTGTTCTTACTCGTTTATTTCGTATAGATAAGTATCATAATTATATCATGACTTCTTAATTTTTTTTTTAAAATCTTATAGAATAAAGTTATTAAAGCAAATATTTAAAAAGATTTAGATTTCATACTCTTTGGTGTATGGACAAATTTTCACAAACTTATTTTGTACTCTTTGGTATATTAAAGATAAAAAATTTATTATTATTTTTGTAACCGTGGTTATTAAAGGATGTTCTGTGTAGTAAAAAATTGTGTGCACTTGATGCTGATTAATATTTAAATAATTTTTAAATTTTTAAGAAAATTATTTATTTTATGATAGTACAAAGGTTGATATTATGGACAATTTTTAAAAATTTTAAATAATCATATAATCGATTGGTTTATAAGGATCATTAAAAATTTATAATTAAAAATTCTGATATGTGGTGATATTATAATTTTTAAAAATTTATAATAAAAAAATCAATTTACCGTTAATTGTATTTCAATTTAATTATTTTTTATTTTTAGTTTTATAACGATTATACTCATTTTATTTATTCAAATTCTATTTGAATTTATTTAATTTATTTTTTGTATTTTAAATTATTTATATTTTTATCCAGAAATTATTTTAATTAATTTAATAAAACATAAATTTGCGAATGTTTTATCATATAAATTCGAATATTGATTGATATTTATTGTCATTTCGATTCCTAATAATTTCACAAATCTTTTTTCTACGAAAAACACCTTCACATTTGTTACAGTATTTTTTCTTAATATAATTTTAAATTTTTACACTACAAAAATACAATGCATATGCGACGGAAATATCCGTCGCACAACAAACAAATATATGTCGCAACAACTTCATTGCGACAGATAACGACGGGGACAAATCCGTCGGTACGGAGCTGTCGCAAATTTGTTTCGGTCGGTTAACCGTCGCGCAAATACGACGGAAAACAGTAGTCGTTATTCGTCGTTATTTTATCGACGAGTAAGAAGTTCGTCGTAGACCGTCGCTTTTCTGTTTGTCGCACATTGCGATGGACTGATCCGTAGCAAACTTTACCGACGGAATCTATCCGTCATGTATGCGTCGCTTTCTTGATTTCCGAACGTAATGACGGATTACGGTCTGTCGCACTGAACTGCGACGGATTACGACCGATTAAATCCGTCGCAAACGTTGTAAAAGTAAATAAAAAATCAAATAAATTTATAATTAATTTAAATATTATAAAAATTAATTTTAAAAACAAATTCATAAATTAGAAACAAAACGAATTAATTAAAAACAAAACAAGATTCATAATTTAGAAAAAAGTATAATACAATAATTTAGAAAGAGTTATAATACAATTAAAAAAAAGATGTATATGGATTAACCGGTGTATCATCGCCGAGATTGGCGGGTGCGTCCTCGGGATCATCTGGCTGCCGAGATGTCGTCGGAAAGCCGTACTGGTCGAATATAAGCGGCATGAACGGTGTGAGGCGCTGTATCATCTCCTCGAAGCGTATGATCCTCGCTTCGGTCTCAGAGAGCTTCGATAGCTTCTCCCGATGTTGCTTGAACTCCTCGATCTTCGCCTGGGCCTCTGCCAGTTCTGCAGTCGTCCGCTCTTGGGAGCGTTTCAACTCTTCCACTTCACGCGTTAGCGCGACATGGTGAGTAATCGCCGGAGCAGAAGTTTCTCCCCCGCCCAATTGGGATGCCAAGGTGCCGACACCATAGATACAACCCTTGGCATCCGGATGGACAACCTATACAATAAACCAAAAATTAGCATACAATCATATATTTTTAAAATTCAAAACTATTAATTTTATAAATATTTACCTCAAGATATAGGCTATTAACTTCGGTTGTCGAGAGTTGTGTACTCTATCGTCGATCTTGGACTACACCAACTCCTCGATCTGCTGGACCCGCTCATCCACATGTACCGTCCGATCGACGGTGTGTGTCCTGAAGAACTCGTAGAACCGACGGTTCTACACCTTCTTTTTGAGCCTAAAAACAAAATAATTATAATTACAAATAATTTTAAATAAATATAATTATAAATATAAAAGTTACTTACTATATCCATTGCGGCTCTGGCGAAAGATCTTCTATCCGCGGTATGAGTTGCTGGTGCGCGGTCCTCCACAGATCGAGACCGTCGGTTGGCTGAGGCGATCCGACTCTTCTCTGCTGCATCATTTGAGTCCCAGTGATTTTGCGACGACGGACTGCGTCGGATATCCGTCGCTAAAAACGACGGACTGCGTCGAACTTTTCCGTCGTAACACTTGCGACGGATAATACGGTCGGTATCCGTAGCCAATAGTTACGATGGACCATCCGTCGTATAATTCCGTCGGAAGTCCCTCGTTTTCGGTCGCAAAGATTTTACGACGGAATAGTCCGTCAAATTCCGTCGTCTTATTTTGCGACGGAAACCTATGGATTACGTCGGATTGTTTTCTGTCTGTATTCTGTCGTTAGTCGTCGTTAATTTTAGTGCGACGGACACATCCGTCGCAATGTCCGTCGTCTTTTACCGTTTTTTTTGTAGTGTTAACATTTCGTTGTTGATACTCGATGAAGATGTAAAGCAGTTTGATTTTTGGCCTAACTCGATCCAAATCGGTTCAAATCACCTCGTTTTGAGACCAAATCATGTTTAATACGAGCCAAAATGATTCTTATTCAGTTTAGATTGTCCTAAATCGTTCTGCGATCCAAATAAAAAATATTAAATATAATAAACAATATTTAAAATAATTTTAAAATTAAAAAAAAAATTAGGTTCGCGAGCAAGATGGGTTGGTTCGCGAGCTTGGCTTGCGAAAAATATGAGGTGCACACGCGTGGAACATTGAGACTCTCACACGGTAAAAGAAACTTTAAGTATGACAGTAAAAACCATTACCTAATGCCAAATTTACAACAATGAACGAATCTGTCACCCCGAACAAAATATATTTATATCATCCAACTGGAATTATTCCGATCGTTTGATCAGATAATCGAACCGCGAATCGCCATTGCCGCAGGCAACAACCTTCAACAGATCCTCTGCCTTCCTCCTCCCTTTCGCAGTACCGTTCTCCGCCACGTCCATGATCCCTTCCTTTCCCGCCGCCGCCACCACCGCCGCAACCTCCTCCCGCGCTCGCTCCCCTCCGCACCTTGTTAGATTCAGCATCGCCGCCACTGCGTTCTCCTTGATTCGCTCGCTCGAACCGGTGCACGGATCTAGCAGATCCGCCAAAACGTCGACTCCAGAGACTTTCCTCATCGCTTCCTCAGCATCCTCGCACCCAGCCACCTGCGCCACGACCGCCGTTGCGTCTTCCACGATCCCCAACCGCGAATCCTTCACGATCAACGAAAAAAGAGCTGGAATGGCGCCGAGAGAGATCATCGTCGATCGATTCATCGGGTACAGAGAGATCCCGAATAGCGCCTTGAGGGAATCCTTGATCGATCGCGGATGCGAGTTCGGAGATCTGATTATATGGATTAACGAGAAGACGATGTCGCGTTTGGATCCGATTATCGGCCGATACGCCTCTTCGGCTATCAGGAGGCTGTAAAGCGTTGCGGCGGATGATTGAACGGCGGCGGAGGAGGTGGTGGTGTCGTGGTGGCGGAGCGCGTGAGAGATCGCGTCTAGGAGGCCACGCGTGGCCATGAGAGGCTCTCTGGTGGCGATGGAGAGGTTGAGGAGTGTCGCGGCGGCATTTTCCTGCGATTCGTGCGAGTCAGAGTAGAGAGTCTCGGCGAGGTACGGTACCGCTCCGGCGTCTACGATGATCGGACGGCTATCGGCGTCGTGTTTGGAGATCAGCCGGAGCTCGGCCAACGCGGCGGCTCTGGTTTGCTCGGAGACAGAGCTCAGCTTCGAAACCGAGGACTGAATTGTTCTCCGCTTGGTTGCTTCCATCGGAAGATTTTCCGGTAACCCTTCCTTCCTTCCCTAATTCAAACCCCGACTTTCTCTTCTATTTTATTTCCGGAGATTGTAATTAGGCAATTATGTGATTAGATAGTTGTTGGAAAGGTAGACGAGGAAGTGCGTAGGAAAGGAATCTTTCTTAAGTGTGTAAACATTTTTTTAAATATATAAAATAATATAATTATTATTTTTCTATACATTGAATTAATAATTTAAGATTAAAAATAGACACCCACAAAAGTACACCGAATGTTCTCTTGCTTTTTTTTTACCACATCTCGTGATAACACTTGACTTGTCTCCGAGGTGGTTCTCTTTTTTTTTTTTTTCAGAAATAAGCTTCGTATAGTGTGCTTGGATAATATTTTTATAAGATCTTGCGATATTTAAATGGTTATCCTTAGATATTTGCATTTTTCAGATTATATTTTTATCATCCGAAATATCTGAATATGTCAATCTTAAAGATGAATTCACGAACGAATTTGAATGATTTTGTTGTCCAAATAAACTGTTCGATTGTTTTTATCTTATTTCTGTTGTTTTTGGTGTAATTTGGGCGTCATGGAATGTTTCGTTGAAGTATATATTTTTGGATAAGATGTAATTAGATGGATCAAGAACATGTATTGGTCTTAAATGTCAAAAAAAAAAAAAAAAAACAGAAATGGGCCCTTACGTCTCGTGTTTGGTATGCCGTCCTCCGACCCTGTTTCCACTTTTTTAAGAATACATTTCAGAAGTGTGAAAAGGATAAAACATCTAGGATTGACTTTTGATTATTGGACAAATTCTATTAAAAAAAATATCGCAATCAAATATTTTAATTTTCCAAATGGATAAATAAATAATACACTTTGGTTCATTTATGTCACATCAATATGAATGGGTATATATTTAGTGATGCTATCATTTATCAACGATGACACACATTAATGTATGTTTACGGAATTTTTCCTTCGTTATTCTCTAGAACCCTAGGAATATGTCTTTACATTCTTTTGGCTTTTTCAAACATTGTTGTTGTGTATTCCTATGATTTTTAGTCTATAAATTCCCTATCAGAAAAATTGAGTTGAAAAAGCGAGAGAAAATGAAAAAGAGAAATGTGATTTCATTGATCTGTTTTGTAATTTACACTCTGCATATGCAATATTACAAGAGGTACACGTGGTAATAACTGCTCTAACGGAAATCGTTATTCACAATCTAATGTCTTCCGTTCCAGGAATGCAAAGAGTGGAACAAAGTAGATCCCATAAAAGTGGATTGATGCCATGAACCGAAGTTTTAAGGGTCGACAAGTCGATCAGATACCAAAAGAAGATTCGTCTGATCGCCGGAACCAAGATAATAATGGCTACCAACGCCAACTGTAGATGACGTTGTCAAAGATGAATTCGAAATCATTTTCCCAGATTTCGAAATGCCGGCCAAGAAATCTGGCAGGAATAATCGGTGAGAATGCAAGAAATCAAGAGAAACGGATGATGGATCGGTGCAAAAGGAAGAAATTCTCTAATACCATATCAGGAACGCAGAAGAAAAAGTTTCAGAGTTGAGAAAGCCAGAGAACTGTGATTTTATTGATCTATTCTGTACTTTACACTCTATATATATAACATTACAAGATATGCATATGGCAATAACCGTTCTAACGGAAATCATGATTCAAAGTCTAGTATTCCCCTACTTATGTTATTAGACTATTTGCAATTCTTTTATATTCTGTTTTCAATTTTACCCCTAATTTACCCCTACACCCTAAATTCGAATTTCCAAACCCTAAAATCTCGAATGATAGATTCTAAACCGTTTTTAGGGTTGGTTTAGAGTTTTAAATTAGTTTAAAGTCTTCGATTTCAGATTTTTCAGTGTGAAGCAAATTATGAAGAGTTAAATGAGAAAAAAAAAGGAAAAAAAATAGCTAACAAGATTATCAAATGGTCTAATAAAATATATTCAAGGGTTTGTACCCGGAATGGACAAAATAACAAAAATAACCCTAAATATGACAAGAGCAACAAGCATAACCTTAGAATTTATAGGATTTTCCAAAAAACCAACATTTTTAATAAAATTACGAAGAGACCAGAATAACTAGTCTGACCAAATTTCCTTGGTATGACCAGTTTTACAAAGTATGACCAGTCTGACTAAATTCCTATTAGTATGACGATTTCCACTTGGTATTAGAGCAAGGCAACGATTATGGACAATGAAAAAATTAATTTTTCGAAAGGATTACCATTAATATTAACAAATGAAGATGATTGCTAAAAAATCTCGATGAAGAGATCAATGTACCAAATAAAATGCAGTATACCCACAGAGGTGTAGAAGAATTTACTAAAGAATGTAAAAAATTACTAGATAAAGGAATTATACGAGAAAGTACGAGTCCTCATTCGGCCCCGCCTTTCTACGTAGAAAATAATAATGAAATAAAACGAGAAAAAAGAAGAAAGGTAATAAACTATAAAAACCTAAATGAAGCGACTATTGGAAATAGCAACAAATTACCAAGAAAAGATTATATACTCGAAAGTAGGGTTGGGCATTTTGGTTCGGTTCTTCGAAACCGGACCGAACCGAACCGTTAAAACGGTATTTTTTTCGACCCGAAACCGCTGTTATTTCCCGGACGATACCATTTTTAGAGAATCGAATTTTTCCGGAACCGAACCAAACCGAACCGAACTTTAAAAATCCCGAAAAACCGAATATTTTTAAAGAAAATCTATCATTTTTTAATAAAACCCGGAACCGAACCGAACCGATACCGAAACCGAACCGAACTGAATACAATAAAAAACCCGATTGGTACCTATTTTTGTAAAACCGAAAGAACCGAACCGATCTATTCCGTCCCGAACCCGAACCGTTTCCCGAAACGCCCACCCCTACTCGAAAGAGTAAAAGAAAAAAACTGGTTTAGCAGCCTTGATGCTAAATCAGGATACTGACAACTTCGGTTGTCTGAAGAAACAAAACCATTAACGACATTCTCATGCCCTCTACAAAAGCATTATGAATGGAATGTTCTTCCGTTCCGATTAAAGTAAGCACCAGCAATATATCAACAATTCATGGATAGAAATCTCCATGGATTAGAAGAATATTGTGTAGCTTACAATGATGATATCATAATATTTACAAAATGGATCATGAGATCACACTGAAAAGTTGATCAGCGTCTTAGAAAGATGCAAAGAAAAATGACTAATAATTTTTAAAAAGAATTCAAAATTAATACAACAAGAAATTAAATATCTTGGATTAAAGATAAATAATAATAGATAAATTGAATTAACAACTAATATTTATGAAAAAATACAACAATTTCTGAATGAACTATCAGATAGAAAACAAATTCAAAGGTCCTTTGGGTGCCTGAATTATGTTTTTGAAATCCCTAGCAAAAGAACGAAAACAATTACAAAAAAAGATATCATATAAAATACCATGGTATTGGTCTAACCATGATACAAATTTGGTAAAACATATAAAAGAGAATATCAATGTATTACCACGATTATACAATCCAACGATCAAAGATTTTTTGATTATTGAAACAGATGCATCTAAAGAAGTTTGGGCAGGATGCGTGCTAGCAATAAAGGATGGAAAAGAATCACTCAATCTTGACCAATACGGTCGTACTAATAATAATGAGATACCAAAAACTGAGAAACAAAAAACAATATTATGCAAATATATCTCAAGAACATTTTCAAGAACAAAGATGAATTATCCAATTCACGAGCTCGAAACACTTGCGTGTCTTCGAACCTTGAAGAAATAGAAAATTGATCTCCTACAAACTCGGTTCGAATTACGAACTGATTCACAATATGTAACAGGATTCTGGAGATATAAAATACAACCAGAATTCCAAAAAGGACGATTAATCAGATGTCAACTAGAATTGCACCAATATGAACCATATATTAAATATATTAAGTCAGCAAACAATTGTTTTGCAGACACTCTAACAAGAGAATGGAAGGAATAATCAAATCAATTCATAATCAGATCAGTAAAAAAGACAATCATATCAAGACAATTTAGGAAAATCTGTCAAAACCCTTTGAGGAGAGGGATGAGTTGATTAAATCCCTAAACATTATCATAAAAGCAACTGGTGGAACACCAGTAGAAGAAGATCAAACAAGAACAAGCAGTAAAAGAATCAGACAATGTAACACTTCCTATCGACATCAAGGTGGAAGAAAAACCGGATAAATGGTACGCTATCTTCAGTGGACCATTCAGAGGAATATATGCGGACTATGCGATCTTTTCGCAGCATACCAACGGAAAGAAGGTTTCACACCAAGCTTTCCAGACCAAAGAAGAGGCCCAAAAAGCCCTGAATGAATCATATAAAACCATGACCCAAAAACAACCAGTTAAACAAAAAGCCCAACTACCCTCGATGAGAATACCCAGAATAGTCCAAATACCAACCACACAAGAGAAAGAAGCCCTGAAAAAGGTCATCCTCGAGAAATACCAGTCCTACTGGGCATCCCTAGTGGACTATAAAGAAAAACACACTATCATTGGTTTTTACCCAAAAATGACCAGAGTCGGAGCAAAGGTTATCTTCATTGGAGAAGTCAACCCATTACTAGCCTTTGATTATCTTCAACATGGACTAGTCGACAATATCTATACTCACTCGATGAAAATATTCGAAGAATTCCCAAGAAAGATTAAACCGATTATCAAGAATTATTTCGAACGATTCGCAAAGGAAATGACTATTTTTATGAAGATTAAGAGTTCAGTTCCGATCTTCGGAAAAAATAAGATTATACAGTCACAGGCTGTAATACATCTTGGAATAGCAAAAGGAGATTTGCCTTCAAGAGATGATGCATCAGAATATGAGATTCCGGATGATCTGGAAACTGACTCACTATTAGAAGTATTCAAAGCATCAAGAAAAATCCTTGTGGATTCAGAGATCAAAGTCAATTATGCCAGCAGTAATGTATTAATCATCACCTACAACAATTCGACCATTTCAAAGGAAGAAATGCAAGCAGTAGCATATTTCGAATTGGACTTCTATTACTTAGAAGGAAAATTCGTAGGATTAGAAGAATCCATCAAGGAACAGCTCTGCAGCTTCCTGATGAG